ACATGACTTCCAACTCTCAGAGCCACACTGCAGGGTATGTTCTTTCATCTGCATTTTACAGCTGAGCAAGACACTGACCGCAAGACAGTTAGAAAAGACCTTGGATGTTCCCTGCTCCAGCGAGAAATGCCTCTGAGAAGAACCTGTCTGCCCTTCACCCAGCCCACCGCCAGGACTCCCTTACAGAGGATTTTTGTTACCACGTGTTTCAATTTTGGATTCCTCCATTGATGAGAGAATTCCCCATCTGTACTGACTCATAAAAGCTCTTCATGCACAGAGAAACTAGGAGATAGAGAATGCTGAAGGTGAAAGAAGGGGAGGAGTTGGTGGGGGAAGACAACCTGTTTTCTCCAAGTTTCAGAGGGGAAGAGAGAAGAGAGCCTCATAAAAGCTCTTTCCACCTGGACTTGCTCCAGATCGCTCCTTTCTCATTCCAGCAGCGGTGACCTACCCAACATGTGCTATTTTTTGTGGAATAATCACAGAAGTTCTGGGCAAACTCCAAAATGCTTGTGCTGTCAGCACCTCAAGCAGTATACAAAAATATCTACATCTTAGCGGGGTAAAATTTAGGGAAGAGAAATGTTTCATTTCCAGTGAGCTGGCCTGAAACGAGCGCATCTTCCCCAGTGTAAGACGATAGAAAATGCAAAAAAGGTTGCTGATGTCTTTCACCTGTCTGAGTAGGAAGAAGGAAAATGAAATCCAAAGATATAAAGAATTCTGAAATTACATGGCTATTATATTAACATAATTTCTTAAATGCTAATTCATACCTTTTATGAAAAGTGTTTCTACGTTGAACTCAGACACAATGGCCCCTTTTTTTGCAGTGGACCAAGTGAGTAACCTGAGCAGTAAGCCATCCTCAAGTGACCACAGTGGCCCTGGAACAGGTTTTCCAGTCCAGTCTTTGCTAGAGCTACAGGTGCTCACACAGGAATCGTGTGACAAGCCTTCAACAAACAGTCTGTGTTCTAACATTTGGAATACAAATGGCCTGCATTATCCAGAATGATGCAGCAAAAATCAAAATACCTTAGCTTGTCCTAAATTGATAAGTAAAATGTTAAAGAACTAAAGTCACGAAAACATCCTACAAAAGAGCTATTTCCAAGCCCCAAACCTCCTGCACCCCTGTGCACTGACTGTGGTGGGCGAGTGTCGAATAACCAGGTTGGCTTCCTTTATCAAACTCCACTCCAGGCAAAGGAACCTATGAGGCAGGACGCAACAACCACAATAACTACTATCACCTCTCCAACCTATCCCCAGAAACAGCCACTCCACTCACCTTTGCCAAAACAGGTCACTGGCATCCCTGTGACTCCTGCCCACAAGCACACCCGCCCCCGAATATTCCAGCCAAGAGACAGCAAAGAAGACAAAAAAAAAAACCAGCACCCCAGTCCCAGAACAGTCAGCATCTGAGTGAGACTAAGATGGCTCAAAACCCCAGGTAGCACTAAGGTAGGCAGCGTGGTAAACTCCTGTTGTAAAGGCCGGACACGCGTACCTAACCTTTTCAGCCCAGGGTCTCTTGTCACAAATACTCAGCTCTGCAGTGGGAGGACAAAAGTGCCACAGACAATATACAAAGGAATAAGCATGGCTGTGTACCAGTAATACTTTATGGAAGCAGACAGTCTGAGGTTCACATTTTGCCACTTTTGAACTTGAGGAACATTTGCTTAGCCCTCATTCCCAAACCCAGGTGGGTACATTTTGTAAATTATGGTGGGGCGTGTCTCAGTTGCTTAGCTCTGAGTAATACCCAGGATGGCAATCACAGCCACCCAAGGAGAACTCCAGTAACAGCAGCAGCAACAACAAGAGGACCGACAGTGTCAGAAACAGCAGGGGTAATAGTAGGTATTTATGTCATGACAGAGATGATGTTACACCACACACACACACACACACACACACACACACACACACACGGCCCTCAGTTCATCCCCACAACAGTCATATGGGGGAGGACTAATTTCTCCCATTATCAAAACGGGGAAACTGAAGTTCCAAGCAGTTAAGTGTTCTTCTAAAATCCTAACTGATAAAACTGAGATTTGAACCAGGGACCAACTACAAAATCCATACTCTCCTATGCCACACCTGCAAAATACAACATCTTAGGAGGAACTAAACACATCAGAGAATTAGCACACGAGGCTAAAATCTGGACCATTACACCAATCTTCCAGACATGGCCCGCTTCACCTTTGCTAAATTAAAAACCATTCCCCCCAACAAAGAAAGAGCCTTACACTTCATTTGCAAGTCTAATTTTCCAAATGCCATACACGCTTTTCAGTAAATACCTACCTCAGAGGGCTCCCCCTCTCCTTTTTCTGGCTTCAATAAAGGTACCAACAGGCCACCACACTACCTCCTTCCTACCCCTTCTCTATCTATGGACCGAATTCCAGGGGGTGTCTGATGGCCCTCAAGGCCACGGTGGCAAAAGAGAAGCCCTGACATTCTGGTCTTCTCAGGCAAAACTGTGTCGTGGTCAAGGACTGTGTGCAGGTTTGAAACTGAGCACCAACACGATGCCCCAAGTAGAAGGTTCCACACCTGACCTGTGTGACAGGTCACAGCCGACACAGGCACACTACAAAGACGGTACAGCATCACCCTGAGGCTGTGTGTAGGTGGCACAAATGAACCTATCATGTCCAGACTTCGGGCCCACCCCAGTTTATCTCATCGTGTGTAATGAAATACTGCAAAATGCAGAAACCTCCCAGATTGGAAACGCTGCTAGTCCCAAGTGCTCTGGGTAAGGGATGCCCCTTCTGTACTGCCACCTGCTGTCTCATTCTTTTTTCCTTCGTTTATGTTCACCATTACGACTAGCCATTCTGGTTCTTGCAAAACAGTCCATAGTCCTCTGCAGGATTCCTCCCATGATGGCCCTAACCAAATTCCAGCAGATACAATTTCATCTAAAACAGGAGTTGACCAACGATGGCCTTTAAGCCTACCCAACCCAGCACCTCTCTTTGTGCAGCCTACATATGAAGAATGCTTTTGGTGCTTTTAATGGGTGGGAGAAAATATCCAAAGAACAGTATTTCTTGACACAAGAAAGTTATAAAACTCCAATTGCAGGATTCACAAATAAAGTTTTTCCAAGATAATTCCCATCTGTCCATTATGTCTACCACTGCTTTTATGGCTACGATGGCTGAGTTCAACAGCTATGGCAGGGACCAGATGAGCTGAAAAACTTACAACGCTTCCTAGCTGTTGTCTGAAGAAAGTGCCCCTTGTCCTAAATGTAAACCACTGGTCCACCCCTTCACAGAAGGGGCACCCACACGCAATCACAACGCAGGCCGGAAGTATGGAGTGGAGGAAGCTACTGAAGGCTACCAGCGGTGAGGACATCGTAACTTTTCACACTCCGAAGGTGGCACGGCGTGTGTGCATTCTTAACTGAGTAATCGGCGAAGTTCTAGGCCTTCATTTTGTCACTGCCATTTGCAACTGCAGAAGCTGATGGGATATAACTTCCAGTTTCCTGACTAACAGCATCATTATTCTAAATTGATGAACTGTAAATAGCAGGTCACTTTATGCTTCTTCTTGCCTCGTATCAGAGCCAGAGACTACAAAATGATAAATCTTCTCTGTGTTTCTTGGCAAAAAGATATATATGTATGTATAAAATTTTGGTCTTCATCTCCTTCAATTTCCTTCACTCATCGGAAATAGTGGCAAAAAGACTCTAATTAGGTAACTCTAATCACAAAGAATGGGTATGATGGAAGACTTCAGAATCGCTATCTGTTAGCAGCAAAACAAAACAGATAGGCTATTCTCCCTGAAGGGGCAGGAGATTTATCAATAGACAAAAGGATGCAAAAAGCCAATAGATAAGGTGTAATTAAAGATCAGACCTATAAATTTTACACTGGCATAAATTTAACAGGATTTGCAGGTGGAAATTCAAGATTTAAGACCTGAGCAATACTATGAGACGCATACCTTTCAGCTGATCCAACAACACTGCTTAATACATAAATTTATTAAGACTAAAACTCCATGCCTCCAAGCTCTTTCGTTCAAGGAATTTGAATTATTCACTGCCAAAGTACAGTAATTTCCAAAAGCGGTCTATCTTCCTCAAGTATTCCTCCTTAATTATCATTTTTTCTTTTTTTTTTTTTTTTTTTTTTTTTTTTTTGGTACCGGGGATTGAACTCAGTTCCTTGCACTTGCAAGGCAGGCCACCGAACCACTGAGCTAAATCCCCGGCATTCCTCCTTAATTAGCTATAATTCATTTTTCATATATTGTTGAGCTTCAAAATATCTTAGAAATAACAATCCATGTATCTATCATATTTCTGGTAACTGTAGAGAGCACGATCAAGAAAGATTTCTACATAGCTGTGAGTTTCCCTTCTCTCCCCCCACCTACAAAAGTGAGAAAATTGATTCCACTGGAATTTTCAACAAGCTGCAGCAATGTTCTCTCACGTGCTAGTCAAAGGCTAAAAAGAAAAAGAAAAATGAAAAGACGCTCAAGGTACTGTAAGAAGACGATTCAAACGATAAGCTGTGATCCGGAAATAAAGCTGCACTTCCCAGATTACAGCACGCAAGACCCTTTTTGACACGAGATGCTTTACGACGTTTAGCAGCCACCAAAGCCACTGGGATGAGCCTTGTATTTCTGGGCTCCCTGAAATCACAGGCAGCTGAAGGTCCGGGGAGGGGCAGCTCTGGAGAAGCTATTGGAAAATCCCCAGTTTGGTACAGTAACTCATTAACGAGGAAAACTCAGACATAAAGGCGAATGGGTGGGAAATACAGGGTGAGAAACCAGTGAAGAGATCTATTAAGGTGCGTAGCAACCTTGAGGGAGAACAGGCTTCGGTGTCTCAACTTTTAGTGAACTTCAGGACACTTTGAACAGACAAAGCTGGACGTGAAAGGAATGGAAAGTGTGCCTCAGGGGCGTCGAGGGTCCCGATCAGGACAACTCACCGGAGTAGGCCCAGTAAGGGTCACCAGAAGCTTTGCGCCTGCGGATCTGCACGGAGCTGCCGTGTCTGCTGTCCTTCGGGGCCCCCACGTAGCCGCCTTCAGTCAACGCTGGAAGAGAGGAGACAGGAGGTGAGACAAGTCACACTCTAAATGGCTCAAAGATTCTTATTCTGTGGGGGAACGAAGCTAGCGGAGAATCCAAAGTGACTCCCACGACCACTCTGATCCTAACAACAGCTGCCAAGGAGCTCCCCGCGGAGAAGCACAGGACCCCATTTGCAAAATGCCACCAGGGTGAGGGTACAATGGTCCCACGATAAACACACTGAGGCTCCAAGGAGGGCATTAACTTTCCTTTGCCCCTAATCAGACAACTGACAGAACCAGACAGAGCCTGCCATTTTGCTTCCAAGTGCATGAATAAGCATAAATCCTAAGTATCCAGGCCCACTGGCTGCATTTGAGCTTCACAGAGCAAGGGGTTGCTGTCCATGTTTGACAGATGGAAACGTTCAAGCTCAGAGACGCCCAGGCACACAAGTGAGCAAACAGCAGATCAGCAAACCAAGCATGGGCATCACGTCTTCTAGGCCTGGCCTCTGCCACCCTAACCCAGGACACCTGGTGAGGCCTGGGAGACCCCTCACAGTGAGTACCCGTCTTCCACACCCTTGGAGCCAAAACAGCCACCTGCAGTCCTGAGAACAAGCAAACCTCCAGGGCCGACAGTGCTCACGGGAAAGATGAAAAGAAACAACACTGCTTAATGATGCATTTTTGAAATTCAAAATGAGTCCAATCCACCAAGTAGAAGCAAAAACATTCACCAGGGCTACAGAAAACTTCCACCTGCCTGCTACAGCATGCAGAGCCCTTCTCCTCCCATCCTCTTCATGGATGCAAATTTCTCTTGTAAGCCCACACCTGAACGCACCGATGTGTAAGACGACAAATATCACAGGTGCCCAGAATCCAAAATGAAAGGGAATTATACTCAAATAATACACCCCTCCTGAGTATGTTAATATTTAAATGCACCCAAACAAAATCAAGTATGCTTCTTAAAAGCAAAGAATATAGTTAGGGGACCTGTACATTCAATTTAACATGAAGATGGAAATGGGAAAACACAATACATTCTCAATAGCCAAAAATTTTGGTAATGGTATTAGCTTTGATGAGGTGACGGTCACAAAGAATGAGGAGGAAACAGGTAGACTACTTCACGCTTACACTTCAGTTGCAAAGATCATCTTTAACACAAGTAATGCTTGAAAAAAGATTCAACAGAAATGAGCCCTTGTGTGGGAAATGGGAATCTAATAAACTCCAAATACTCATCTCAAAGTAAACCTACTATCACTTACATCTGCTCACTGGTCCTGTATGACAAAGCCAAAATCTAAGCTGGTTTTTTTTTGTGTGTGGGGGGGTTAAAAGATCGTTTTTAAAGTATGCACACTGAAGGTTTGGGTCCCTACCGTTCAACCCTTCCTACAGTCTGGTAGCTGAGTTATTCAGAACACTAGGAACTTGACCATTCGCAGTTTCTATTGATCAAAACTAAAGTTTTCCATCTCCTACTCTCCTAAATACCTTTTCCTCCACTAAAGTATACTAAATTAGGCATACATATTTTCTGTGCATATGTGAAACTTATGTATCTGTTCACTGCACTCCAAATACTTTTTCCCAAATAACCATTCTCTTTGTACCAACACAATGAGTAAACTAACATCCCCACCATCTGAATAATGAATGTAACTTCTGTTTGAGGGTGTGGTTGATCCTTAGCTTCCCCATCTGAAAAATGGGAGCCAAAAATACCAATCTCCAAGAACTGCTATGAAGGCAACACAACTTACTGTGAGCAGAGCGCCCAACTCATTGTACACTGAGCATGTCATACTGTGTAAAACCTGACAAAGTTAAATAATACTTATCACGGAGCCCTGGAGTCAGACTAAGTCAACCAAAGCAATGTACGAAAGCCATCGAAGTAACAGCTCTGGCTGGTTGCAGAAAACTGTCACCAACTAACTGATTAGGTTGCAAACAAGTAAGCACTTACGGTATAACCCACTGAGTGACTGCCTGACTGGGCTGTAGCCAACTGATGATTCTCCACAACTTAGTTCATTTTTCTATAAGCACTGTCAAATGATGACACTGCAGGGTGGGGCTCCATATTGCAAATCAGTTTTTTCTCAAACTCTACTAAATGTAACCAGTCTCGGGGATTTTTCCTTTGAACACACAGTAGTGGAAATGTGCTTCAGAAGCTCAGCTTTCGTAATACTCACACCCAAATCCGCCAGACTGCGTATCAGGGATTTGCCAGCAGCTCCCTGTGGCCACCGCTCCTGCCAGCTGTGAGGTGCGCTGTCTGGGGTAAGTCGGCAGATCAGTGGATAGCAGCAGGTGCTGTGGTGGACCCCAAAGCCTCAAGGGGGCTAAGGACCAAGTAAGGGATCAACAGAAGAGGGAAAAAGTAGAGCCAGGCTAGAAGGCAGCGGTCTAGTGGATTAATTCTGTGGACAACAGTAATTGCTAGGCAAAGCCAATGTGAAACCAGCCCCTAATAGGCTTTATTCTCACACGCACTGATTACCTGGCAAGGCTCCCTCTCTGTCTCTAGTGTGCAAAAGACACCCCCACCCCAGCTGCCAGTGACACTGAGCCTACTTTAAAGGGTCACTTCAAGGTCACTTCAAGATCTCATGTCAAGCTCTCCATCCACTAAAAAAATAAAAAATAAAAGCCCCTAGGCCCTGGACTTCTCTCCCTAAAATTCAGATTTAACTGGTCTGAGATAAGGCCTAGATGTCAGTTCTTTAAAAAGGAGTTATCCAGGTTATTTTTTAAAAGAGCATCAGGGTCTGGCTAGGTAGCCCAGGATAGCCCCAGAGTCATGCCCCAACCTTCTGGCGGCAGTGACTACGGGTGCCCGCCCCTGGGCCTGGCTCCCAGTGATTTGATTTTGGAGCCAGACATAATCAAGAAATATCCTACTGAGCTGGACCCAAAGTCCCCCAAGATCCCGCTCTTCTCTGGCATTCCTAATGCCTGCCCTTAAAGCCTACAACTTCACTGCCAGTCTCAGGAAAGAACAGCTTCTAAAAGAAGTGACCACATGTGATGCAAGCTCAGAACTTAGATAAATCTGAGCTGACCCAGGACAGGATTTTCACCCTAAAGCGCTTTAACAAATAAGGTAGAAAAGTAAGAAATGGGATTTTCCTCAGGACTGTAAACTCCTAAGTGCACTCCCAATGAAAGATGAATTATGGAATCATAATCTTCACTACCAATCTCCCTTTTATTCCTGAAAAATGGGGTGCTTTTCGTTGCCCAGAAACTTTGAGATTATCGGGGTGGTACAAGGGGGACCAAGCTGCCAGTCAGGTCTTCCTGCCAGGAAGCCCAGCTAGGGGAAGCAGGAGCTCCTGAAGCAACGCTCAAAGCAAACCTGAATTCCAACAGCCTTTAAACAGACAACATGATGACCCCCAGATCTGGGTGGCTTCTGAAACTATTAATGTAGAAGCAAATCTACAAAGATATGTTCAATTCAAGAAGCAGGAGGCCACTATCACGAGGTCTTCCCCTGACACTGCAAAGCCAGGGATGCCAAACCCCTAAGAGAAGATACCTTCACAGCCACTCACACACATCACATCTCACAGGCCTAGGGATCTGGGCCAAGCAGCAAAATAAGTTAAAAAGTAGGCCTCCTGGAACAAAACTAAGAGGTGTGGCATTGCTGAAGACACAGCAGTGGACAGGTGGCAAGAGACGTGGCAAGGCCATCCCAAGGAATGTGGACTCACTGTATCATATCCCCCCAAAGTGCTGAGGTACACAGCAACGGATATGCAGAAAAGCCTGCTTATGAGGAGCACTGTGCATTGCCTGTGAAGAGACTGAAGTTCCCAGAAAAAAGCAGCACAAGGATCCCTGGGCTACCACCATCCCAGCAAAAATGATGGAGCTCAATATACGGTATGCAGTCATAAATAGTGCGGAAAGGAAGGGAGGAAAGGAGGGAGAGAGGGAGAGAGGGAAGAGAAAGGATAGGAAAGGAGGGAGAAAAAGGGAGAGAGGGAAGGGAGGGAGGGAAGGAAGGAAGGAAGCAAGGCTGCCCAATGGTGCCAGTGTTCTGGTAGTTATTGGTTGTAAGGCTATGTTACAGCTTGTGTCTGGATGTACCCCCAAAGCCTCATGTGATCCTAGGAGGGACTTTTCATAGGTGTCTGGGGAGAGAATATGGGATGCTGGGATTAAGGGAGGGCAGGGGAATGAAGAAAAAATAAGAACCAAGATATATCATGTAAAGATACAAGATCCCAATGAAGAATGTAACTGTAGGGTTTATCTAGATTGTACCAATAAACTTTATGGGGGGGTGTTTGATTATTAAATTAGTTCAAGCTGGGTGCAGTGGCACACGCCTGTAATCCCAGGAGGATCGCTGAGTTTGAGACCAGCCTGGGCTAAATAGTGAGTTCTAGGTCAGTCTCAACTACATAGTGAGACCCTGTCTCAAAAGTAAATAAATAAATAAATAAAGTTCACTGACTGGTTTGGCACAGTTCTGGGTATCGCTAATGGGAATGTCCACCCTAGGTATGCTATACCTGGCCTATGGACATGAAGCCCAGATAGAATATAAGGGACAGAAAAGAGGCTGTTTCATGGTCATTTGCTGCTTGTCACTTTCTTCACTACTTCTCTGCCTTCTTCCCACCATGAACTGTTTTTCCTTTGTCATGCCCCTCTGCCATGCCAACCTGCCTTTGATCCAGCCAACTAGGAAGTGAAACCTGTACAAACTGTGAGCCAAAATAAACCTATCCTCCTTTTGATTGTCAGGTATTTTGTCTCCGCAACAAGAAACATCTGAAGCAATGATTATAAGTAGCAAATAAGCAATTCTTTGGGAGGCCACTCAGAAATGAACATGGCAGAAAAGGACTTTATCACTTGGCAGCAAGTTGTTTCAACAGATACATAACTCATTAAAAGTGACTATATTTAGTTTTCCCTCTTACTGCATCTGTCAGTAATGTGTGATTTCTTACCCCACCCCCAAATAAGAAGATAATCTT